AATACTCACCACAGGGGTGGTAGCCTGGATAGCATACAAGGGATAGAGAGGGCTGCTGCGGTCCCTGCTTGTTTCTTGCTGCTGCTTCACTACTTCACTGCTTTGCTGCCTTTTGCCCACCATGAACTTTCTCCTCTGGGATGCCCTTCTGCCAAGCCCCTGACTTGGAGCCAGCTGACTATGGACTGAAACCTCCACACAACAAGCCACAATAAACCTTTCCTCCTTTAAATTTGGGTGCTGGGCATTTCATCTCAGCAGAGAAAAGCAATTAAGACAATTGTGAAATGAGACCTGAAAAACTGCTGGCCTCAGAATAATTTACCATAAAACATCAACTTATTTAAAGTTGACAGTAATTACAGCATGAATCTATACTGGCCCAAAATGAAAAATACTTTCTAGCTCAGTTTTATTTACTGAAACATTTCATTTTTAATATTAAAATGGGGAAGGCCATGTGCAGAAAACAATGACAGAAGATACCATTTCCAGCAGCAAATACAAATAGAAACATAACGGGGAAAAAGTGCTTAATAGTACTTGAACAGATTCATATGCACACAAACATGAGCAAGAAATTCAACTGACAATGTAGCCAGGAACTGCAGTGTTACAGGTGAAAAACCAAGGAATATCAAAGATTGCCTGCAAACCACCAGAAGTTAGAAACAGAAAAAGAAGACTCTTCTGCAGGTTTCCAAAACATCACTGCCTGACATCTTGATTTCGGAGAGTAAAAACTCTCCAGAACTGAGGCAGTAAGTTTCTACTGCTTTACATTCAGTTTGTAACATTTTGTCACAGCTGCCCTAGGAAACTAATAGATGTTCAGCTACCACAGTTCTGTATTACCATGTAATGATCAATGATTTAAAACTAGTATTTGGGAAACATTGTTTAGATGAACCAACATTAATCAACTCTCTTTTGACAAAGGCATGTATGTTTGTGATGGAAGCAGTGATTTTGGTACCCTTTACCCGTAATTAAAATATTATCATTTTCCTTGGTGGCCATGACACGCTGCCTCATGACAGGCCCAAAGTTGACAGAGCACAGCAATCATGGACTGAAACCTCCAAAACACATAGGCTGAGACCAAACATGGCTGACTACAGGATAAGCAGCATCAGACAAGAGATTCACTGAAAGTACAGGTACTCTGATGTGGAGAAGGTATTTATACTCTAAAGCAGAAAATGAACCTGAAAGATGATCCATGCAGATCAAACCAAGTATCTGGATCACTGAAAGGGGAAATGGTGCCGGCACAGCTGGTCTGCACCAACCCCACCCCTGCTTCTCCGGGGAGCAGCCACCATGTATGCCCAATAGCCTCATAGAATGAACTAGTGCTGCAGAGTGCAGACTCTGGGACAGAATCTTGTGTATTGCCTTCTCCCCACCCCCAACCCCAAACTCTGGGGAACACTACATCCCTGCAGTATCCTCTCAGGTGCTCAATCAAGTGCTCGATGTGGAGAGGGAAGCCCTCCCCAACCCAAGTAGAGAGGATTATAAAGAAACTGTGCCTACCTGCCTGCACCAGGGTCCCACCATGGATCACGTCTATTAGCAGGGTAGGGTGCGACTGATCAGTTCACTGAGTGAGCTGTCCCTGTTTCCATAAAGACCAGAGAAACCTGAACGAGCAGGTAATCCCAAACAGTGATCATCTTCATTCTCAGGAATGAGGAACGAGGCTTTATCCCAAGGCTGAGAACCATGGCATTCTGCTTGCTGGCTGGAAAGGTGAATTCTTGACACCGGGTGGACAGATTGTGCTATAGACCAAAGATTACAGCTAAAAACGTCCAATACAGCCTGCCTCAAGGTGGGATCAAAGAAAACTTACACCCTCACCACAGATAGAGGAGGAATAGTGTGGCTGTACATGAACAGAACACAACTGAAGCATGAAGGAAACCATGTACATACTCAAGCTTTATGGTACAGTGGACATGTGGAGACTGCATGTTTGTTCTCTTGGAGTGTTTGATCTGGTTCCCCCTGGAGCTTTATTTTTGTAACTTTCCATTTTTTACACTTTGATATAGTATTTCCTTTCTCTTCTATTCCTTTTCCTCAATACTACCTTCTGTACCAATATTATTTTTTTTGCTAGTTTCTTCCACTTTTTAAATTGAACATTTTTTCTTATACACTGTTCTTTCAGTCTTTCCTATCTTCTCATATTAACCCTTCTATCCTCTATATCTTACTTTTTGCTCTTCTTTTCTTTACCAGGTCATGCGCCCTCCCTTACCTCTTCTCTACCTTACAGGCAGAGAACAAATACATCAACACGTTCTCACCTCACAGCTTCCCTCAATCCAAAATTACTTCCTTTCTCCTTCCTCCTGCCCCTACAAATATCAAAATCCTCAACACTTCCCATTACTCTAAATACAAAAAGCCTCCAACAGAGTCTGCCCCCCTAATTTTACATATTAATGCTATCTACCTCTCTTCCTAATGACTTATAGCCCTCTTTCACTCTTCTCCTTCATATCCCAGAGTCACTGCTAAAAGCAATAGAGACCAGTGGTGGTGAACCTATGGCATGCGTGTTCTCTTTTTAAGACAAGAGATGTTAATGTAGGAGTTGTTTCTAAACGAAAACCTCAGTATTCAGGTTTAATTGCAGTACTGGTACTTTATGATAAATAAATGGCTTTTTACCTGCAGTTTGGGTACTTGTCTCTACAGACTGTAAAGGTTGAATGTATAAACAAGGTTGAACACATGTAAGTGATGTCTGATTGGATCTGTTGACGTTTCAACCAGTAGTAATTCTCTTATCACAACACAAGGACAGTGTCAAAAACATTATATAGGTAGAGGGGTGAACACTATCTTTGTACAAAAAGAAAAAGCCAGGAACACATCTCTCTTCAGTCTACTTTGACCTTAACCACCAGCACTAAAAAACCAAAACCAAAAATAAAAAATCCAAGAGATTGAGAGAGAGCTAGAGAGATAGAGAGAATGAGAGAGAGGGGAACATGGGAAAACAAGGCAACAAATCCCAAGAACTCCCAACTACAGCACTAGGCATGGTGGTACATACATGCCTGCAATCCCAGCACTTGGGAGGCTGAGGCAGAAGGACTGCTCTGAGTTTGTGATCAGTCTGACTACAAGGTGAGTTCAAGGCCAGCCTGAACTATAAGACAAGACACTCTTGGAAAAAAAAGAATTTCTGACTCTCACAAGGCAGGTCCAGGGGACACTGATGGAAAGGTAGTGGGGCTTTACAAGTATATTGAAGAAAAGGTAAAGAAATTTAGCAAGTTCAAAAAGGACATTATCCAAAGGTTCAGTACGGGAGAAACAAAAAATTGGAAGAACAAACCAAAAAAGGTCAAAACATGGGTAACAAATTTATCAGATATACCTGCCCAGGAAAAGGTGACAGAGAAACAAAAACTTGCATGTAATCCATAAATTACAGAAATGACCAACTTTGAAAGGGTTTCAGAAATCAAGGACAAAATGGTACATTACAAATTACTTGGGGGGGCTGGGGATTTAGCTCAGTGGCAAAAGCGCCTGCCTGGCATGCACAAGGTTGTGAGTTCGGTTCCCGGTACCGGAGAAAACCAAAAAAAAAAAAAACAAATTACTCGGAGAAGCTTTAAAAACAGTAAGGAAACAAGGTAAAGCAATCCAGCAGCTACCAGATGATGCTAAGAAGACCAACCTAAGGCTAACTGGAGTTAAGAAAAGCTAAAAGATAGCACACATGGAACAAGAAAATCTGTTTAGAGAAATCGTAACAGAAGACTGTCCAAGTATGAGGAAAGATTTCAACATACAGCTAAGTGAGACTTACAGAATTCCAACAATGCTGAAAAAAGAAGCTCGCCAAGACATACATTATTCAAAATTCCAGATGTCTAAGGAGAAAACAAAGCAGAGTATGGTAATGTACATCTCTAATTCCAGCACTGGTGAGATTGAGGCAGGGGGATCACCATGAGTTCAATCCTAGCCAGAACTGTACAGTGAGACCCCATCTTAAGAGATGAGACGAGACAGAACTAATAGGGAACCAGTAGAGAAACAGAGGAGAAAAAGCAATCCTGGGCAACAACAGCAAAACAAAAAAATCACAATCCTGGACTTCCAAGTTATACTGCGCAAGCACAGTGATAATACAGCACAGGACTGGCACTGAAACAGACACGCGGATCAGTGAAACAGAATGAAGATGCAGAAACAACCCCAAGGCATTTAGCCATCTGGTCTTTGATAAGGGGCCAAAAACACACACTGGAGGAAAGATAGCCTCTTCAAAATCAATATGGGAAAACTGGCTATGCACATGCAGAAGACTGAAGCTAGATCCACAATCTCTCACCACATACTCAACTAAAATCAAAATGGATCAATGATCTAAATTTTAAAACAGAAACAACGTACTGAAAGATTAGGTAAAAATCTTGAAGTCACAGGAATAGTCAAAGACTTTCTGGACAGAACCCAATGACACAATAATACCAAGAATCAACAAATAAAATCATATCAAATTATAAACATCTGCACAGCAAAGGAAACAACCAACAGTATGAAGAGACAAGCTACAGGATATGAAAAAAATCTGCCAGCTATACCTTGAAGAGAGGACTACATGTTAGGGGAAAAGAACAAAAAGGATGAAAGATATGTCATGTACCCTAAATGAATGTAGCCAATACATACTGCAAACATGAACTAAAAAATGTAACAATAATGAAGGAAATGGAAAGGATCTAAAAACAGGGGAGGGTGGAAAGTAGAAAGGGAAAGGAGAATAAAAAGAATCAAGACTGGGAAGCTGAGGCAGGAGGATCACCACAAGTTCAAAGGCAGCCTGAACTACACAGTGACACACTGTCTCAAAAAACAACACAAAGCATCAAGATACAGTATGTTGAGTATATGCACTTACTTCTTAAAATGTAATATCACGTACAACAAACATGTTGTAGTTATAAAAAAAAAAACAAGCTCCAGAGAAACTGGATATAATTTTTATTTAAAAATACTGCATATAGTTACAAAAGTAAATGTCCCAACTATACAAATTGTTTTGCATAGTGTGTGTGTGTATACACACACACACACACATATATATATACACACCCACCCCTATTTAAACTTGCCTCGTCGTTTCACCTCTTTATTTGAGTAAAAAGAAGTATACTTTCCTCATTCAGGAGATTTTTGATGTTGTAATAATTCCCTAAGAAAAAATAAATAAAATTATTTCCATAGAAGTCATTTCTTTTTGAGCAGTCATCATCTGACAGTTATAATATATAACACAAAATAAAAATTCACTTAATTCAAAGTAACTCTTACTAGAGAGGGATGTAGCTCAGTGGCATAAGCACTTGCGTGGCAAGCCTGAGGTCATGAGTTTGATTCCTGGCACCAAAAAAAAAAATATCCAAAGTAACTTGTACTTAACTCCACAAACTCAAAAGATCAAGAGTTAACTACCACCTACTGAACCAGATATAGCTTAAAAGATTATAAAATTTTATACTGTTCTGTAACAAATGCATAGAATGCAGGAAAAGAAAATCTCCTTCTGAAAGCTATCTATATGACATGTTTGGAATTGTTGCAGACTCTCCTAAATCAGATATATATGCTTCTTTCATATATGATGAAGTATAAAAGGTACAGGTTAAATAAAATTTTAAAACCTCTTAATTTTAAAATGGAGATGGTAGGCATGGTGGTATATGCCTGTTAACTCAGTACTCAGGAGGCTGAGGCAGGAGGATCAATGAGAGTTCAAGGCACTACACAGTGAATTCAAAGCTAGCCTGCACTACAAAGCAAGGCCCAGCCTCAAAAAACCAAAAGTAAATAAATAAATGAATAAATAAATAAATAAATAAAAGGCAAATGGTGCTATTAACAATAAAGTAATAAATAATAGCAAAAGTGAAATACAGATGGACAGCATTACATATGGTAGGTTTTTATCATTAAGAATTATTATTGTGATTTTCTATACATTTGAATTTGATAAACTTAACCAGGTTAAAAGAGTATGCACAACAGTGTTAGCACACACTAAGAACTATACAAACAGTTACTACTGTCTCCCACCTTCAGGGTTTAAGCCTCACAAATGTAAAGATTTTTATTGTGTTTTATTCACTTATTCATCCCTCTTAGAGTAAACCTTTGCCATAGTAAACTCTTACTAATATTTGTTGAATGAATAAATTATTTCCAATGACTTGTATGTTCTTCAGTATATGTTTTGCATCTTTAAAATACTCCACCAAAAAGAGTTTTGCCTATATAATATCTTAGAGATGATATAATGGAAATATAGCCTGGAATGCAATATACCATCTAGTCTTTTATATTCAATAGTAAATGAATCTTAGTTTTCATGTATAAAATCATTAATACCTAAGAGACTAGGTACTGGGCTGGGGATATAGCTCAGTGGCACAAGCACCTGCCTGGCAAGCACAAAGTTCTGAGTTCAATCCCCAGTACCACAAAAAAAAAAAAAAAAGAACCTAGGTACCAAACTGTGTTGGTATTGGTCATATCATACTTTGTTTTAACCACTGTAGCTTCCATTTTCATGGTACATGTAAGTAATTATACTATTTTAACTATGTGAAGTAAAATGTCTACAGTTATTCTTACCTGAAGGAACATAGAATGAATCCCCAGTAGTTATTGTATAAGGTGTTTCATGTAAAGTACACAAAAGATCACCAACATTAACATAAAAAACCTATAAAATTAAAAATAAAAATCTCATTTCCAATTGAACTACAAATATACTCCAAAAATTCTTCAAGGAAATGCTGTAAGTAGAACAGTAACTTCCCATAGTATCAGCGTACTTATCTCCAGAACCTGTAAACATATGATACATTACCCAGCAAAGAGGACACTGAGATAGGGAATTTATTCTAAATTTCGCCAATGTGTCCTATATAAACATAAGAGTCCTTAAAAATAAAGAACTTTCTCCTAGAAGCAGAAAAATTCGGCAGAAAAGTAAGTCAGAAGAATCTGAAACACAAACACAGACTTTCACTATAAATACTAGTAAAGATAGGGGATAATAAGCCGAGGAACATGAGCTATTTCTAGAATTTAAGAAGGACATCCTGATTAACAGCTACTGATCAAATGAGAACCTCATGCTTACAACCTCATGGAACCAAATTCTGTCAACCAAATAATAAAAGTACAAGAAGTAAGTAGCAGGTTTATCCTCTAAATTGCCAGAGAAGAATACAGGCGGCCTGTATCTTGACTCCATTGCTAAACATAAGGGAAATGCAACTCAAAATCAAAATGACATCACCTCACCCTAGTAAAAAAAAATTATCAAAAGGACTGAAGATAGCAAATGTTGGCCAGGATGCAGAGAAAAGAGAATCCTCCACACTGTTGGTAAGAACGTAAGTTAGTATAACCATTATGGAAAACAGTATGGGAGTTCTTCAAAAATTAAAAGTAGATCCACTGTAAGATCCAGCAATCCCGCAATTGGGTATATATCCAAAGAAAATGAAATCAGTACTCCCATCTTCACTGGAACACTACTAGAATAGCCAAGAAATTTAATCAAGAAAATATAATTGTACCATGGAATCTGCCAACATTTAAAAAAAATGAAATCCTGTCATATGTGGTATTGTGAATAAAACCAGAGACCATTGTGATAAATACAATAGACCATGCACATGCTCACACTCATTTTTTAAAATGCTGATCTCATCAAAGTTGAGAGCGGAATGGTGGTTACCAAAGGTAGTAGAGTAGGAGGTCATAAAGTTGGTGAATGTATATTAAATTACATTTAGATAAAAGAATACTATTTTCATTGGCATACTGCTGCACGAGGTTGCTACAGTTAACAATGAGGTATTATGCCTCTCAGAAAGTTAGAAGAAAGGTTCTGGATGGTTTTAATCATTAAAGAAAGGATGAGTCTGGCGTGGTAGTATACTCCTATAATCCCAGCATTCTGAGGCTCAGGCAGGAGGATTGCTGAGAGGCCACTCTACGCTACACAGTGAGTTCAAGGCCAGTCTCAACTACAGTGAGATCCCGTCTCACCAAAAAAAGAAAAAAAAAAAAAAAGAAGAAAAACAATGAACTTTTGAGGAAATGTTTTATATGATTTAAACATTATGCAACATGTATTGAATTGCCCCATTAATATATATCATTTTAATGTACAATTTTTGTCTTTGTTAAAATTTAATAAAAAGGCATTATTTAAATATATTTAACTGTACAAAAAAGATTCTGAAACACACAGAAATAGAATAAATGATAAAGTACCATGCATACTGAACACCAAACACCTGCCCAATCCATAGCCTACTTCTATTCCTTATTCTGAAATAAAACCCAGGATAACTCATTTAAAAATATTTCAGGATATACTGAAATATTAAGTGTTTTAAAATATATAACCATACTGTTATCACACCTAAAAATAAATTCATATTTAATAACCAGTATTCAAATTTCTGTGTCTTTTTTTTTTTTTGGTACCAGGAATCCAACTCAGAACCTCACACTTGCCAGATGCTGAGCTATACCCCTAGCCCTTCTAACTGTGTCGTAAATGTCGTATTTTCAAGGGTTTATTTGTATAAGGATCCAAATAAAAGCCACACATGGTGACTGGTTACGTCTCTAATCAATAGTAGGAGGCTAAATCAGGAGCAGCTTCTGGAGATATATCTGACTGTCGCGACTGGAGTGGTACTAGAGAGTAGAGCCAGGGAAGCTTCTAAGTACCCTACAATGAAAACGACAGTCATGCTGCAAGGAAAATTATCTAGTGCAAACCTTAACACAATGGATACACAAGTTCTCACTGGTTCTCAACTTCATACAGTTTGTTTATTGAACAAAGCAATTTATCATAAAAATCTTCACACAGCTGCATCTTGCTCATTATATAGCCAAGTAAAATTCTGTATCGTGTATAAACTGGTAGTTTGGTCTACAGCATGATCAAATTTAGGTTCTGACTTTATATTTTTAAAGAAATACAATAAACAAAACTACCAGTTGCACAGTGTTGTACTTTTCCATTAGGAACCCCAAGCTGGTTGCGTTCTTTTTAGATATTAACAGCCACTGATGCTCAATGCCTATCTAATAAGTCACCAAGGGTTGCAAATTGGCCACAGCTCAATTCTAACATTCCTTCATTCATTGCCTTGAGTATTTTATCAATTTTTTTTCTTTTTCTTCCCCAGGGGCGTGCACCACTCCTGGAGATAAGGCAACACCAGGTAGGTACATGAAGTGGAAGGAGCAAGCTCCTATTCCATCTCCCAGCTCCAAAAGTCCATTTAATATACTGTCCTCATATAGAGGACGTTTCAAATATTAAACTGGTAAGAACAGATACTACACTTGATCTTAGCCAAAAGGCCGAGAAGCAATTTTTTTTTTTTTTTCTTTTTTGAGACAGGGTCTCACTGTGTAGTTCAGGCTGGGTAGCCCAGGCTGGCCTCAAGGCAGTGGTGATCCTCCTGCCTCAACCTCCCGAGTGCTGGGATTATACGTATGTGCCACCATGCCCAGGGATCCAGAATACTTTTTTAACAAGAACAAATTTCTTATCTATTATTTAATCAACTTATTTCTCCAAAAAATTGCTTTCTATGAGTGGCTTGCTGCTACTTCTTTGCTTTTTGAGTTTTGGATCATTATCTAATTTTGAAATTATTTCTAACCTTTGTTTTTGGGGATTTTTTTTCCTCTCCCTAAAATTCTTACATTGGCATATTTATTTTTCTGTTCTCCACATCTTTTAACTTTTATATTTTCTATTTCTTAATTTCTTTTTGTTGTCTTCTGAGAAAGTTCCACAGTCAGCTCTCAGACTTAATGTGTTACCTATCTGGTTTGGTTGATTTGACTGGGGGTAGGTATACTAGGGACACAACTCAGGGTTTCTGCTCAGGTGCTCTGCCTGGAAGCTTCCCCACCCTCTCTGTGGTTTAAGACATCTACTACTGCTACTCTTTCTCATACGGATTCTCCAGCACTGTTTTAACAACAGTTACTGCCCAGTGCCAGTTCTCTGGTTTGCCCCTTGCCATTTTTTTCAGAACCATGTAAACATGCTTCATGTTTTTTAAAAAGTAAAAATATTCCTCTATTAAAACAAACACTTTAATTTTTATTAGAAAAAGGACTATTTAGAAGGAACCAAAATGAGCTACAACTACCTGATAAAATATTTTTTCTACATTTTCATGTTTTTGTCATTTACATCCTACAATTCTCCAAAAAACAGATTTTTTTTATCTTGCACACTTGCTTTAATGTTATCCCAAAGATATAATATGGCTAATCTTCAAAATAATGTGCTTAAAATAATTTTAAAATGTTCAAAACAGTGCCTGGAGCATATAAGGGCCATATAACTTCATTGTTTCATACAGTATATTTAATCCATTATTAAAATAAAAATATAAAATTTCCTTCTTGCAGTACATTACTTATTCCTAATTTTTACAATTATGTTACTTACACTCAATGTTACAATTAAATACAATTTCCTTCCTAAATCTTAAATTATTATCCTAGGAAAAATTTCTAGAAATGGCTTGCATAGCTCACAGGGTATGCTTGTTTTTCTAATAATTTCTACTAACTTGGTAATTATAAAGTAGCATCTGTTTTTAAATGTAGATCCCTTTGAATATTAGTCAGGTTAATTGTTTTCAAATATTTTATTATTAAAATTTCCTTTTCAAGAATAAAGGCATTAGAGTTTAACGGTTAACTGCTACTATTTCAGTTGTGACTTGTCATATTTATCTTCATCATTATTTTCTTATTTTACAGGGACTATTGCTTTATTTGTTTTTGTTTTTGTTTTTTTGGGTTTTCTCCCGGTACCAGGAACCAAACTCACGACCTTGCGCTTGCCAGGCAGGCGCTTTTGCCGCTGAGCTAAATCCCCAGCCCGGGACTATTGCTTTAAAAATGTGATTTTTACTCTTTCAGTAAAACCTGGGGCTCTACAACAATCTACAAGATTAGATGCATGAAGCTGGATGTGGTGGTGCATGACTATAATCCCAGTGCTTGGAAGGCAGGAGGATTGCTGGCAGTTCAAGGCCAGTCTAAATTACATAATGATTTCAAGGCCAGTCTGAACTACATACAGAGACCCTATCTCAAAAAAACAAATCAAACAAACAAAACAAAATATAAAAAGATGAGACATAAATATTTTAAATTACTTAAATTAGGACTCTACTTATACTGATGTAGTAATAAATTACTTTATTCTACGTGCCTTTTCCTTTGCTTGCCTCAATATGTCCTTCTCTGTTAATATAAACTCAAGAGTTTCATGAATTTTTCCTCCCTTTTGGGCTTACTTTAATTTTCTTATTAAAAAGAATTACTTTGAATGCAATGTTTTAATAACTTAGGATTTCAGGTTCCTGAAATGTCACATACTTAATGAACAATGTCTCTTAGTTATGACATTTTAAAATGATGGCACAATGTTAAACATCCACAAAATTTAATGTTTTTTGATTTTACAGCTTTCAAGTTTATTTTACATACACACACACTCCCAAACCAATGCTGTAGAGACACAGTGTATATCTCCAGTGGGGGATGAAACAGGGAGAGAGACTGCACGACTCACCTTAAATCCCATGATAACTGTAGTCAGTAACGTTACTTAGTACTTATTAAAGCTACTGTTAATCCTGACTTTACCACTAACTCTTTCAGTGATTGCTGAAGTCTCTGAACTTGTTTCTCAAACTACATGATGTAAGGAATTAGACCTAATCTCTATAATCATTTTTCAGTTCTAAAATTCTAATGCTCTGTTTGCAAGCTTATATTCTAGGATTCCTTTACGTAAAAACTATTGCTTAAACCTCTGAATCTCAAGACTACAGTGTTATGCATAAAAAGGGTTCTTTTAAAGAAACTTTGGTTGGTTGCCTTTGGTTGGTTAAGCTCAGTTAACAAAAAACAATTTCTTTGCAGTTCTGTAAGAGGATTTCATTACTGAGGGAATAACATTTTAATGCCTCATCAATCCAACAAATCAGAGTGGTACTAGAGCAAAACATACACAGAGAAATATACTCACCAGTATATCTTCACCAACATGTTGCTTTCCCTTTTCTTCATAGGGTCCTAATATCAACTTCCCAGTAGAAAAAAAAGGTGTATCCAATGTCTTATACACTTTCAACTCGCCATGCTCAACAAAAAATTGGTATGTATCTCGCGGCCTTATAAGATCTAAGGAAAATACAGTAATATAAAAATAAAGCAACATATTCAATGATATAACACATGTGAACATATATAAAATAAAGAGTGGTTCTTAGAAATTGCTTCAGACAATTGATATTGGAGCTGGGATGCCAGAGATGGTATGGTGCCTCTTTGCTGCAAACTGTACAATCTTACTGAAGTTACTTAAGCTCTCTCTGTATCAAATTTTCTTTCCTTAAAAATAAGTAACAGCTAATCTTCTGTGTTAAAGAGTTACTGTGAATACCAAGCAGTTAATGTGTATAAACTAAAATCAGTCTGACACAAAGCACTGTTATAATCTTAGCATAACAATTTAAGAGCATTACTTCTATTGTGGCTAAGATAGAAAATAAGATTAGCTGAGACACAAGAAAGAATTTCATGTCTCTGCCATCTTGTTTAGTAAAGCTCTGTATCGTTTCTAATTTTTTTTATTATTTTTTATTCTCTCTAATGGTTTGATCAGTCTTGCATTCTTACATCCGGTAATTTGAACAACTTTGCTGAAAATAACAATATGTAATATAATAACCACTGTTAATTCCTATCATTTTATTTTGAAACCCTGTATCATTTTTATTGTTTTTGTACTTTTTTTTGTCCATGTTTTATTATTTTGTTATTTTTTTTTATTCTCTTTAAAATTAAAAAAAAAAAAGATGCTGGTAAAATTTTTTTTTTAAAGTCTAACATAGCCCACAATACAAATGAGAATAGATTATTTTCTACTTGCTTTCTTATGATTAAATAACAAGATTTTTATTTATGAGGTAAAGCTACAAAAAAGTAGAGTTCTGTCAGAAATCACGATCTCACTTTCAAACAAACTCTTATTTATAGACCTTTCTAGACCTTTAACTGTCAGCTTCTAACTCCATTTTGCTGGATACCTGGAAATGTTCATTATTTCACAGATACAGGGCATAGAAAAATGCACAGATTTTTTAAACAGACAAAAAGTTAATTCCTAACAACACCCACACTTTTTTTTAAACTGGTACAGTAATGTTTTTACACTAAACAAAACTCTATACTTCTACCTTTATCACCAGAAAAATAATCACAATAAAGAAGTAACTTTGCTATCCAGCTGTAGTGGTGCATGCCTGTAATCCAAGCATTGAAGAGGCTGAGGCAGGAGGATTGCTGTGAGTTTAAGGCCAGCCTGGACTACATAGCAAAAGCCCATCTCAAAAGAAAAAGGAAGGAAATAAGGAAGGAAGGGAGGAAGGGTAAGCTTTGCTAAGATGTTAAGATGTCATATGGAACCTATTTCATAGCCAAAATTTTAAGTGAGAATACTATTACAGTCTTCCTGGTTTGACCTATATGTCCTTTCAGACAATCCTGAGTAGTGACTAGAAGAGTCCTCAGAAATGTTAAGGTAGTTACATATTTGCTGTATGTAAATACTGCCCAGTTGTTTAATATGTAAGGATAATCCAAATTCTCACCCCCCCAATCCATTTTTTGCCCTTCTATGGCCTTCTAGAAACTAATGTTTAATACCTATGAAAGCCATGGAGAGGCTTCTAGGACCTGAGAATCTGTAAGCAAAGAAAACTGCTTAAGCCCTGCCTCCGATCCCAGTCTGGCCCACAGTAAGAGTGTATCTCGGGTTTTGCCAGCTAACTTGCTAGAATTCCCCATAGACAACCCCTACCCTCACATGTCCTCCTGACCTAAGCAAGCCTAGATCCTTTTGCGGAGACACTTCTAATGGTAATGGCAGCATCTGTAATCCAAAGGACTACAGTATGTCCAAAATACGTCCCTGTAGGCTATCTGCCATCAATACTCCCCCAGAGTCATTTTCACACAGGCCATTGACTGGAATGGGATGTTAGTGATGAAAAAGCTGGAGAAAGAGAAAGATCAGTTATCAAGCCAACAGTTTGTTCTCTCAGTTGTTGTTAATTTTTCAACATCATTCCTGATCTTACCCATGAGAATAATCTCTCTTGTTTCTGGATCCTTTACTTGCGTTGGCTGGAAAGGATCTCCCAGGGGTATATCGCAATTTACCACTAATCTACTTTCTGCAAAAGAAATACCAATGAAATACAAACCACTTAAAAGTCTTCTCAATCATAAAAAAAGCTCACTACAAAATACAGCTACAAGTTGTAGAAGAAAACTGTGAGGGACTTAACAGTCTCTTCTCGTTTATATACAATCAATAAACAAATTTTAATTCAAAAACACAATGTAACACAGAAGCAAACACCCTAAACTTCCTATTTTCTACAGGGCCATTACTACATGTCAACTCTTAAACTCTTGCATCATCGAAAGAGTAAACAGTGCTCTACATACTCCCTAAGAGAGCTGGAACTATGCAATAAACTGGAGGAAGAATTCATTAAAATGTCAATTATAAGCACAGTTCAGGCAAGAAGTTTCTTTTACCTGACCTTGAGTAATTTACTAAAAAGAAAATAATTTATACAACACTAGTAACCATTTTTTAAAAAGAATAAAATTAACTTACTTTTAAAACTTGAAAGGAAATGCACATTAAAAAGTAAATTTTACCTATAGTATTATGTCTGCAGTTTTTAGAGCTAAATCTCAAACGCTGCAAATGGCTTCCTTTAAAAGTACCGTGTTATTTAAAATGAAATCTAAAAGTTACTTTCAGGAATGAGTTCATACTTCTTTCAACGTTATCGAGACAGATCCTTTTCCTATTATGTATTTTGTTGACTTTTTCCACATTTCCTTTTGCCTTCCTTTTAGATGTTACTGTTTCTGGTGATAGTATTCCCCCAATCACAAATCCTCCTGAAATATAACAAGAAAGATAAAACACATCTGGGAAAGTAAAAAAAAAACTCAAGTACATGTCATATAACCCTAACCCTAACCCTAACTCAAAGTAGCAAAGAAAATATTATTCTTACCACATTCTATAGCTAGTAATTCAAGTAACACAAATAAAAAACAATTTCATTTGTATTTCTATCATTTTAAATCTGGAACTGAAAAAAATATGATTGAATGATCTGTTACTTGCTTGAAATCAAGTCATCAGTGGAGGGTTTTTTAAAAAAAGGCAAATGCATAATGAAGTATAAGTAGTGTAAGCCACACGTGAGTGCTCTTTGGTTTAGCTACATCCATCAAAGGCCAGGAAATGACTTTAAGAGAATACTATACTCTTTTCTTGCTTAACTTCTCTCACTGTAGGAAAATATGAGAAAATTGTTGGTAAGAAAAATGAAGGAGAGTAATTTTCTCATATTGTAACCTAATCTTCATTTTATCCAATTAGAAGCCTTGTCAGATAATATTAAAATAACAATACAAGGCCACACAGTCACACAGCTACCAAAGAGGGCAGGCGGAAAGAAAATCAGTATCTCCACAGCAATCAGACAAAGCTGGATTTGAATCTATTCTTATCACATTTTTGGGGAGTGACGACTAAATGAAGGCATATATGTAAATGTGTAAGATAGTGCCTAGTATATGGCAAGCATTGATAAGTTATAGCAATCATTATTTTTTAACTAACAGACATTATAGTGTAAATTAGATTTTACCTGATGGTGTTTCTTGATAATCTACTCTCTCTCCTCGCCAGTATTCCAAAGGTTTTGAACGTATTCTCTTGGTCCTGCGAACACCTGGTGTGTTGGAGGGTAATACTGTGCAAAGATTTCAGATGAAAATGTACATATGTAAATGTTTAGTTGGGTAAGATTTAGTAGTAGAAAGATACTTTCAGAAAATGAGTTACCTTTTAGAACATGAATGTTTACATACAAAAAACTAGAAAAATGTGTACTAATAATAAAAAGGAAAACCTGGGCCTCTAGATTGGCAAATACATGAAATTTGATAATACCCAGGGCTGATAACGTTAGAAATACCTCTTCTTACATGAACAATGCTAAGTTCCATATATTAAATACTTTATCGAATTCCAATGTCCTTACCTATTTTCTGCTTGCTAGTGCTATCTGATCTGAAAATGGTTTATTAAAATCTCCACTCTAATTACATGGTTTAATAAAAACCTTCTTGCCTTTTCTACTCATTCTTTTCTTAGTGAATGTTAAATGCTAAGTTGTTTGGCGCACAAGAGCACAATTTTTCTATCTTCTTCATAAGTTGCTCACTTCATCATTACATATCCATCATTATTATGTTCATCAGTTTTAATCTTAAATTTCACTCTACTTTGGCTAATAGTAAAACTGCTCTTTCTGGAGTTTACAGTAGCCCATTTAATTCTTTAATTATAAACATGTGGTTTTTAATAAACATTGATTTATATTACTTAACTAAATCCAAAGTCTCTAGCTTATTAGAGGAATTCAGTCCATTCCCACTTATTGAGTGTAACAACATGCTTCTCTTTGATTCCATCTCACTTTATATTTATTATTTTACATCTAGGAGTCTTCCTTCTCTTCACTTTTATTGGCTGAATGACCATTTGTTCTCCAGTCTCTTCGTCATTTCAAAGATTTCTGTTTTTCATTCTAATATTGGTTACTTTTCTACTCTGACACTCAAAAACTAAACTCTCATTTCTCCATGATTATGTCAAAGTGACAGCCCTGAGAATGGGGATATAGCCCAGTGGTAAAAGCATATGCCAGGATGTGCAAGGTCCTAGGTCCAATCATCAGCACATGCACACACACAAAAGCCCTTATTGAGCCACCTGATCTTTCCTCTGCATTTAGACCACCTTCATTTCACTCCCTTATCCTTCTACTTTCCTCCTCCCATACCAAGTTTTAAGTACTCTACAGATTCCAAGGTATTATTCCAAAAATCCTTACTTAAACACTTACAAAATTTTAAACATATTAGCAGCATGTGGTAGACATACTCTAAAGTAGTATAAGCTTCTCACTGGAGTGCAGGTAGGACCATGAACTTCATTCTAATCAAGAAACTATGTCAATGGTAGTGGTATCACTTCTGTGCTTAACATCATTCTACACAGTTTTCTAGATCACATAGAAAGCCACTAACAGGTCGCACAAATGTAGAAGCCCCTCTGAAACTTGACTGGCAAGTGCCTTTCGATGAACTACAGATTGTTAACACCCACGTGGATCTTTTCATGGGTTCCAGTGCTCGAAGTGTTGCCTACTTACCATTCTAGGTATTTAGAGCTCTGGTTAGGAGTGACCTGGATGAAAGTGGAAAAAGATGTACATACATCTAGCAGCTCTATTTTCCTTGAGATAATTCTCTACCCTAACATGTTTGCTCAGGTGAGATTTACCATGGTGCACAGCAAAAGGACTGTAAGTGGACCAAAAACTGACTTGGTGTGAAATTCAATTTACTGTGAAATAAATTTTTAAGAACTAAGCACAAAACTTTACATATATAATTTTAATTCACCTATCAATTAATTCAAATAATATTATTCCCTCTACTGAAAAAAATTAAAATTTAAAAACAGATTTAACAGCATTTGCCTCAATGGAAATATTACAAGAAAAAATATTACAAGAAAAAATATAAATTAGTTAATTCTTTACCTAATTTGTAATGCATGTTATTCCTTGGTGCCACTTTGCATCCTTTTACTCTTGAGTTGTCTGTGAAATGCAAAAGATGGTATCATGATCAGTAGCTATTAATCCCATGCTGACTTAAAAGTTGTTACTTGCTCAACTTCAGTAAAAGTGTTTTAAATAATATTTGGCCTGACAGTATGTTTTTTAAACACAATTTAAAAAACAGTAATAACAACATAGACAAAAACAAAACAAAGCAAAAACAATAAAAATGTGCAAAGAAATAAAAACTAAGGAAAAACAGTGTAACATTTCTCTAGAATTTGCTGTAAGAAACATATTTAAAAAGCATATTAAACATATTTAAAGAGCATATTAAACATATTTGTTAAAAAAAAAAAAAAAAGAGCAGCCAAGTTTTCCATTGCCCAGGCATGGGGGAAATAAGTCACTGTAGATAAAAATTCAGGGTATAATAATTAATACGTTAGTAACCTACGATCAATCAGCAACTTTCTCCTTGAAGTTCTAAAACAGTATAAATGTGCTTAATTTATTAGCAGTGTGCCAGAGCTCAGGGGTTCTCAATTTTATGTGTTGTACAAAGCATTAAAGACAGCTGTGATACGCTTCTTTTGCTTCCTGTGCACAAGTGCTCTTTATCAAAAAGCAGTATCTTAAAGTATTTCCTTCTTGAATCTTTACTGGCCTTAGTGATTTGCCTGAGTAATAGAATCTAACAAAAATGACTTTCCGGTCCTTCCAAGGCTAAATCCTAAATCCTAGTAAGATATGTGTGTCCCAGTGAGGATCTCCCTTTGGAGGAAGACAACAGCAATATATGAAAACTGACAACTTAAGACTGACATGCTGTGATGATCAAAGATACTATCTATAGAAGGGAAGAAGCTAACTTGGACATCCAGTCAGACTAGTTAGTACTGCAGCCTTCATCTAACTATAAAATTATAAAAGCACCCTAAAAGCACCTAGCCAAATCAAGTCAATGTACAGAACCATACAAGACTAACCAATATACTCATATTAAACCAGTAAGTTCTGGGCAGGTCAGTTATATAGGAGTATGTAATTAGAACCTCTCCTGTCCATGCACCAGTCATGTTGCATGTAATATGTTCATTTTCCCAAAAGCTGGTCTGAATTTTCATCATATTCTCACAGGAGACTACGGAAGCAAAACACTGTGAAGAATGACTGAACTAAATACTTTATAAAGTTGCTGGATTGGAAGAAAACCTGGAAATCATAAAATCAAATTCCTCTCTCAAAAATACATAAATCTGTAAAGAATTACTGTAGATAGTAGTTGCCTAGGCCTGGAGAGAAGGGAACGAAAAGCAGCTGCTGAAAGGTGTTAGGTTTATTTTCTCTAGTTACATATTTCTTTGGGGTGGTGATATAAGAATGTTCTAAACTCACTGTGGTGAAGAATGCACACCACAGACTTGTACACTATCATAAACATGTTAACTGTGTATCAGTTGATCTCAATACAGCTGTTATACCCTCTACCCCATAATCCAATATCCTATGCAGTCTCCATTTCAATAACTACAGGTCTCATCTTCGTTGAAAACTTTCCCACAGCAGGGGACCTTGGAGGTAGCTGGTGGAGTTCAGAAGGAACCAAACAAATAAGAAAACACACTAAGGATGAGAGCCAGTTTTCTTATTATTAAGAATAGCGTTACAGGGCTGGGGATTTAGCTCAGCGGCAAAGCGCCTGCCTGGCAAGCGCAAGGTCATGAGTTCGGTTCCCGGTACCGGAGAAAAACCAAAAAAAACAAAAGAAAAAAGGAATAGCGTTACACAATTGGAAAAGAAGTCTGTGTTGGACTGGGACTACAGGCATTAATGTGAATTCATGGTTGTAAATTTCAATACAGAAATGGATATAGAGGCCCATATAACATATAGGGTGTGTTTGTATGTGTCTATATCCTATCTCTGTCAATCAGAAGAGCCTTGAAGCAAGAATACTCTGCTAACAAGAAGCACTGAGTACCCAGATCTGGGATTTTAAATGCCATCTTCCAATAAAAAGAACCAGATTTCTTAAGAGAAATACTTTATTCCAGAAGTGGGGCGGGAAAAGTAATCTGGAACATTTTTATGCCCCCCGGCAAGATAATATTCATAGAATGACAGAATCACAACAAAAGCACATATGGTCTGGTTGAAAAGAACCCCCAATGGTCAGCTCTGTGAACAGTTTGAATGAGAATGCATGATAGTTAGATTATAATCCCATAAAATATGAACCCTGTCATCCAAACAAACATATATAAATAAATAAGTAATCAACACATAGGGAAGGGTGGGAAACTATTTCTTACAGTAGACTGCCATCTAATTAATGGAGAAGAAAGTAAGAAAAGAGAAAATAATTTAGTACCATCATTAGTGGCTGATGATTTAAGTGGGAGTCTTCAACAGATGCTAAGGTTGGTGAAGCAAGGTTTGATAAGGAACACACTATACTGTTGAAATAGTATCAGAGTGTCACTCCACAAAAATTATGAAAGAAAAGAGGTATTTATTTAATGATGCTGGCAATTAAACCAAGGTCTTTCAAATGTAGGGTTTTTGTTGTTGTTTGTATTCCTTAAAAATGTCAAGGTTATGTTAGTTAGGAAAAGACTAAAGAAATGTTCCATATTGAAGGAAATGCATAGTTAAATGCAATCTATGATTTAGGACTGGATCTTGGATCACAGAAGTAAAGGAACTGCTGGTGAGATTTAAATGGACTCTGAATAGGTAACAGTTCTCTACTCATGTTCATTCCTGATATGAAAAGCTAGAGGCTGGTCATGTCCTTGCCTTGCTGAAATATTTTGGGAGGTATTTAAGAGAAAATAACACATAATAACTGCAACTTGCTCTCAAATGTTTCAGAAAAGGATGAATGATAAAACACATGCGAAGAGAGAGACAGACTAGACAAGGGGAACAGAACGAAGTTTGCAGAACCTGAATGAAGAGGATATAGGAGTTCTGTGTATCTGAAATTATTAAAAAATAATTTTTTTAGCCACATGCTGTGGTGCATGAATGTAATCTCAGCATTCAGGAGCGTTAAGCAGGAGGATCATAAGTTCAAAGCCAGCCTGGGCTACACAATGAGTTCAAGACCAGCCTGAACTACTAAAGTAAAGACCCTGTCTCAAAAAACGGTAATTTTTAAAAGCAATCAATACCAACAACTCCTGAATTTCAAGATTAAAGAATCCCACTACACTTGAAGATGACAGAAAATAGGTTATCTATAAAGGAAAAAGGAAATTAGATGGACTTCAAGTTTCTACTCATAAGCATTAAGTACAAAGAAGCAAAAATAAAGGAAAAGAGATCATGACTCAACATTATTTTCTACTGAATAATGGTTTGGTGTATTAAAAAAAAAAAGATTCTGAGTCCTTGCTAGCACATGAGTATGTCTACTAACCTTAAAAAGAATACATATTTGTTGGCAATAAATGTATATATGACATTTAGCAAGTAAAAAAAATAGCAATTTAGTCATGCTGTTTCTAAGCCACTTTCAGTTCTCTTAATAAGTTTAAAGGACGAAAAACATAAGAAAACCAACCAAAAAAGTACAGGTCATAATATTATTTGGTAAGACAGACTACAGGGTAAAAAGCATTTATTGGAACAAGAAAAATTTGAACAAAGCAGGAGCACTGCAATGTACACAAGATTTAAATGGCAGGAAAACCAAACGGACAGTTGCAGTGGATTTTACTTTAGCTCTAACAATCCCTAACAGATCTCAAGTCAAAAGGAAGGATTCCCATCAGAGGAATATTAAGCTTGGCATGTCCAAATCCACATATCTGTTCTTTTCCCCCAAAGTGTGCTCCTTCCCTAACACTCTCCAAATCAGGTAACGACAATGCCACTTCTTAAGCTACCCCTGGCACCTCTTTATCCTACACTCCACAACTCATTCATCAGGAATCCCGCTGACTCTACCTTTAAAAATTCCTAAAACTTGGGCCAAGGATGGTGCCACATGCCTGTAATCCCAGCACCAGGAAGGCTGAGGCGGGAGGATTGCTGTGAGTTTGAGTCCAGCCTGGACTACATAGGGAGAGACCGTGTCTCAAAAAAAAGAAAAAAAAAGAAAGAAAAAAATTCCCTAAAACTCACCACCGCTCTCTCCATCTTTTACTGTTATCAACCTGGTCGAAGCCACTAGCTCCCACTACAACTATACCAAGGTCTCATCAAGTAATCTCCCTGCTTCAAAACTTCACTTGCTCTCTCAACCCTTATTAATCCACTCCTAGCAGTAGCTGCAGTGATTCTGTTAATATAAGTTAGATTGCTTCTTATCTCTGCTCAAAATCCTCCAATGGCTTCTCATGTCTCTTAGCAAAGCCAAACTCCTTACAACAGCCCCTGAACCCTACAGTGATTCTGTACCTCTGCGGCGACATCTCCTGTACTCTCCTTGTCTTCCTCTGCCCAAGGACCTGGCCAACTTGGTGTTCCTTGCCCAGGACAGGCTATTATCACATCAGAACCTTTTCCCTTAATCTTTCCTCCAGGACCCTATTTACTCAGACAGCTACTGGTTTACTTTCTCAGCTAATTCATATCTTCACTCAAATGATCAACTCTTCACTGAGGGCCCCTTGCCCATCAACCAAAACATACAACCTCCAATTTTTCCCCCAACCCCGTTTTGTCGTCCTATGCTCAACACTCAACAGATCAAAAACTATACTCTTTATACTGTCATCCTGCCCCTTCCAGAAAGCGAGCTCTAGGAGAGGCACAACACTCTGCCACATGTACCCAATGCCATATTCCTAACTCCTAAAGAATACATAATAGTATTCAAAAATATCCCACAAATATTTAAGACTTCAAAGTATATCCAAAAAATACATCCACATACATGATCAACAAAATAATGAGCAGGTATATATTTTCTAAGTACAAAACATTCTCTTTTTTAAAGTTTCTATGGAAAAATTATAAAAACTAACTAGCTAATGCTAGAACATGAACACAGACACACACACACACACACACACACAAACTTAGTATGTTCAGGCAATTAAAAAATACAGGCAAAGTTCTCCAGAACAATAAAATGAAACTGGAAAGTATTAATAAAAGAACAAAACAAGGGGGCTGGGGATTTAGCTCAGCGGCAAAAGCGCTTGCCTGGCAAGCGCAAGGTCGTGAGTTCGGTTCCCGGTACCAGAGAAAAACCAAAACAAAAAGAAACAAACAAACAAAAAAGAACAAAACAAAACACAACTTAAGATAATATTCAACACTGGGAATTTAATACACACCAAATATATTGACCTATGGGATTGGAATTGATATCCCAATTTTACAGATAAGGAGTCTGAAGTTAAAAACACTGACATGTCTCTCTTGAAGTAGGATAGCTAGTAAACATTGAGCTGGTTCAATCCCAGGACCTTGATGCTGAACACTGAAATCCTGACTATGTACTCTTTAAGTAACTCCTGGGTCAAAAAAAAAGATCATTACAACTTAAGAGCATAGTCCAAGCACACTACATAGTAAAACCTATAAAATAAAGCCAAAATTGTACTGGAAAAGTCACTGTGCCTTCTCTACTAAATTATTGATAAAGTAATAATAACAGTATTAATTAATGTATATGTATTGATGTAAAGAGAGAAAAACACTAAAATTTATCCTTTTTTTGTTTGGTCTTTTTGAGACAGAGTTTCACTATGCACTTCAGGCTGGCCCTGAACGCACTACATAGGCCAGGCTGGCCTTGAACTCGCAGCAATCTTCTTGCCTCAGCCTCCCAAGTGCTGGGATTACTGCGTGTGCCACCAAAAACACTAAAATTTAAAGTTAGAGGAAAGAACAGCTACAAAGGAAAAAGAATCAGTGAACCAAGGAAAGAAAAAAGAAGTACTAGAGATTATATCTAAGCACACATTCTTTAGGGGCACAAAAAAATTTATGAAATTCTCTATAAGAGGTTTTTTAAAAAAATTTCAGCATGTGAAGTTTTGATAGTTAATCTTGCTTCATTTATCCCTTCATTAGCATAATATTTTTAAATCCTGGAAGAGATACCTTGAGCACCAGTATTTCTTTATGCCCTATTTAAAAGAAAACTGTCATTTATTTTCTTTTTCTCTTGCACTTACAAATCTGTTTATAGTAAGCAAAGAACACACACATTTGCCATCAGTGAAAATTAAAAAATAAAACAGCATATCTACTGCACACCCATAATGCCAAAGAAATCAAGACAATAGAAAATAAACAGTAACTTACCTAAACTTTCCTGAACCTCATTATTCACATCAGAATTATTGTTTCCAGACATTAAATAATTCTTGAGCCTAGAAGGTCCACTTAAGAAAAAAAAAAAAAAACACTGTTTTTATAATATCTATATCTCACGTACCTCAGCTTAATGATGATTTTTTCTTTTTTTGTTTTTTTTGGTTTTTTTCCAGTACCAGGAATCGAACTCACGACCTTGCACTTGCTAGGCAGGCGCTGTGCCGCTGAGCTAGATCCCCAGCCCCCAATTTTTTTCTTAAACTGTTATAGTTTTCTTTCTTATAAAACCAACAGTGATGTTACAGGTCACCAAGAATATACTTACTTGCTGCATAATACAAAGACTATAATTTAATATTATAACTGATGGCCAAATATGGTAAATACTAAATTTATAACATTTTAAACTAAACTCATGAATAAGTTATGTAGTCAATTCTAATGACAATAACAATCATAGCATAGGAAAAAATGAAAAATGAGCATATCTTACCCTTAGACAAAGCTACAGCACACACCAAATAGAATTTAAAATGTTATCCACAAATTATCAGAGATGATTCAACTTATCCCAGTCCTAGATCCTCTCCTCCTACTAGGAATCTACGTTAGACTTGCCCACAACCCCACACGGTAAAGAAACCTTAATCATCAGTTAAGTCTTAGAATTTGCTATAATTTATCACTCATTTCACTTTAAAAGGTTTTATAACTTCAGATAAAATACACATAGGCTAACCTGACTTGTGCATTGAGTCAGTGGATGCTTTTACAATACATCCATAAATTCTTTGATATCCATCCTTTCAAGACATGGAATCCAGTTCTCCTCACTTAAGATGTAGTATGGATTTCTGGCAACTTACTTCTCATGAATAGAATACAGAAGTGACTCTACAACTTCACAGGTTAAGTTACTAAAACACACTGCAACCCCTTTCCCAGTTAGGCTTTCTTCTTAGATTACTTGCTTGTGGGAAGCCATCCTCCACATTGAGCAGCCTGGTGAAAAGCACCACATTGCAAAACACTAAGGTCAGTTGGCTGTAGGAAGTAACTGGGGCCTTCAACCAACAGCCACTCAAGTGAAATCTTATAAAGAGGACCTGTCAGTTCCAGTCAAACCTTCAAATGACTATAAACCAGAAAGACATCTTAACTGCTACCCTCCTAAGAATCTTTAAGCCAGAAGTGTTAGCTAATCCTCTTCCAGGTTTCTAACCCCCAATAACTATGGAAGCCAATAACAATATTAAAATTGAGTTTTGGGGTAATTTATCATACAGCAGTGGGTAACCGCTATAGTGAATAAAGCCTATTATTTTTTTAATTCATGCATACCTTTCTTCCAAAACTGAAGCTTTAGACTCTCCAGACTCTAAATTAGACTCTACTGGTGTCTTACATGTATCTTCACTGATCTGAGACTTCAGGCGAACATTCTGTGTGGACATAATTTCATCTTGATCTTTGGAATGTCTTGTTGTTCTACCAATATAAAAAGTTTAAAACTCATTTATACTTCTTCAAAAAAAAATTCTTCAAGAAACAATGCAAAAGTGGGTATATAAACAATATAATATTGGCTAGAAAGAATATCAGCTGACTATGTTCACGACCTAAAACTTAACACCTAGCTCAGGAAGGGAAACAGATTTTAGGAGCTACCAAGATTACCAATCTGAAAAATTTTTATGAGGGAGATGGTGCAAACCTGGTCTAACTAAGAAGGGAGTAATAAAGGAAGGGCAGTGGGAGATTAGACCTATAGGCAGCTAGTGGTGCATACTATTCAGTTAATCTATCATAGTTAATTGGTAAAATTGTTTTCTTTAACATTCCTAGTCAGCCTGTTTGTGGGTACAGCAAGGCCGTTAGAAGGACGTAGTTCATTTCTCTGGTAGTGTCCAGATGATCAGTTTATCCCAAATGTATGCAAAGAAGATAAACTATTCCTTTTAAGGAGGTTTTGGTACACTTCTGAGTCTTAGACCATCAGAGTCAAAAGAAATAAAAGTGATCGTAGGAGAATGCCATGAGCAACCATATACCAACAAAGATAACTTGAAATGAATATAACAAAGATAACTTGAAATGAACAAATTCTAAAAACATCCAAAAAAGTGATTTTAAGAAAATAGCCTAAAAAGATCTATGATCCAGTAATTAAAAATCTCCCAACAAAGAAAAGCTCCCGAAAAGGCTCCACCACTGAAGTCCATCAAGCATTCAAAGAATTAATATAAACTCTTAAATTCTCCCAAAATAAAAGAAAATATTTCCTAACTCGTTTTATAAAGCCAGTGTTACTTTTATACCCAAACTAGGCAAAGATATTGCAAGGAAAGCATGCTATAGATCAAAAAGCCCAAACAAAATACTAGCAACACAAGTCCAACATTTCTTTTGTAGGTATGAAAAACAGTCAGAAAAACTTAAAATTTTAGGAAGTATATGGAATTTTCTAGGCACCACGATGACGTACAAATATATTTTAGGACATTCCAATGATTTCTTTCAGTACATCCTTAGCACCTTGCTGTTTCTAGCATACAGCGTTCTCGAATATTTTTTGAATGTGTGCTTTAGCAAAAAGCAAGAATGCATAAAAAACAACATTAGCTCAACAGTTTGTTAGGATTGATAAGAATACCTTATAAATAATTGATAGTAAAAAAAATGTTAATGAGGAAAACTATTGATAGGCCCCTAGTTACTAATTAGGAATTACTCTCATTAATGACATTAATATCATTTTAAAACAAAACGAACTTTATACTTAAAAATCACTAATGACGATTAATCTTATGCTATATATCTTTTACCACAAATTTTTTAAAAAGGAAGCACCTCAGGCAACAATGCTTACTTTAATACTCACAGTCTTATGTGCATATGTATTATCCCCCATTTAAGTAACAAGTTCAGAGTAGTACTTTCCCTGGGTGCCACCCAGCTAATGCAAATTCTGGATTTCATAACAGTTTGTTACAGTGCAGTCTTTCATACTACTACTCTCTCTGAATGACTAAATAACAGATTAGCTCTTCAATGCTAAACAACAAAAATAACTATATTGAACACATAATAAACATTACCTGGAACAATCAAGATTTTTTTTCTTAGTCAGGTCTGTCTTATCATTTTCCAATGACTCTTTCTGGGGACAACTGGAAACTTCATCATGGTCAGTAATACCTCTAGAATTTTCAACGTTTAAAAACTTTTGTACTCTTGAGCTGCCTCGAGTAGATGTCTTCTGCCTTTTTGATGGAACAGTTTTTTTCACAATATTCTTAGATGACTGATTTGTTTTCTTAGCAGGTTTTCGTCTGCTGTTGTGATACACCGATATATCATTTCTTAATGAATTACTATGAACAGGACCTGGAGGATTCAATCAAAAAGTTACTAAAATATTTTCCAGATAATCTGGCTTAGTGAATAACATCATTTGTATTTATAATGGTACCTCGGTTCACAGACTTTGTTCTATGATTTTGGAAAAGATGGGGCCATTTGTGTTTATGTGGGAAAAATTGCCACAGCCATGTTTGTCACCTGATGCAGTTTGCAAACAAAAACAAAATTTTGCCAGATGCTTGTGAACCAAATTGTTTGCAAACGAAAGTGTTCATGAACCAAGACACTATCCATTATAAATACATACACACAGATCAATCTCATTGGCTAAATGTTTTTACTTTAAATTTATTACCAATCTTTCAATTCAGAGAGACATGCACCAAACCCTTTACAGCCATCATGATCTTCTCAAACAACCCCCTCTCTGGATCATCCTTAAGATCCTGATATTCCACAAGGTTCCAGCTTCAACTTTTCAGCCTATGTACTGTCTCTGGAGGATCCAACTCCTAAGAGCTTTAATTAATATCTATATGCCAATACCAACTGATATCCACCCACCACTCTTCCCTAAATCTGTCTCTCTGGCTTTACTTACTGTCTTAATGAAAAGTAAAACTATCCAGGTACCTACATCAGAAATCTAAGTCATCTAAAACTGTTGCTCCTACCCACAACCGATCCCTTAGTGCTTCAGTCCTACTTCTCAACTGTGCTCCCACACTCTCCTGCCCGTCAGTAGTTTGCTTATCTCATTAACAACCACTCACTCTCACATCCCCTTCCAAAGAAACCAGAAAGCCCACAGTAATGAATTATTCACACTTTTTCTAAAGTATTGGTTCTCAAGACACTCCTTAGACTTATTAAGTTCGGCCTGGTATTTGGTTAGCATTTATTTAAAATATAAATTCTCAGGTCCTATTTCAGACCTACAGAAACAGAACCTGGCAAAGAGCCCCGTAATCCATTTTAACAAGCTCTCCACAATTGAGGCACACTACAGAAAAAAATGAAGATCAAATTTGCACATGCTACTTCTCCTTGAGCCATACCATCCTTTCTCCTCCTACCACCCAATTAGGTAGCTCCTAATTCATTCTTCAAGAAGTCGCTAATCCCCAAGTGTTAGGCTAGCTCTCTCTCTCAATTCTCTGATAATGCTCATCACATATCTGAAAATGACAATTTTTTGAGACTGAGGAACTGACTGATGTTTTACCTATCATGTTCATAATGCCTAACAACAGTTGCAAAGCAAAAAATTGAAACGTTTTCACTCTTGGAAAATTTTAATAAAGCACTCACTTCCAGGGTCATATAAGTAAGAGCCTGAACTCACACTACTTTGAAACCAAATAATACCTAAAGTCTTTCTACTATTACATTAGTCCTGGTCCTGCATACCACTGCTGCCTCACAAACACTTAATAACTATATATTCATATATACAAAGGGACAGCAGTGCCACATATGTATTACATGCACTTTAGGAACAATATCATGTTGTTTTTCTGGACTTCAGATTTCAGTTTCTTTTTCCACCAGCTGAAGGAGTCTGGACTGTATGAACTATGAACATTCCTTTTGTTACTCTTAACTTGGTCAGAAATCCAACACGCATTTCAGGACTGTTATGAAAGGATGTTTTGCTAAGTTTCAGAGTTCAAGCACGTTTATATAACCTCTGTAAGATTTGTATTACCCATGTGTTTCAGGCAACTTGGAGAAGAAACGTAAGCTCCCCAAAGCAGTAATAGTAGCGCTAGTTAATATTTCATTCTACTACGTATATTAATGCTGTATAATCCTTATAAAAACTCAAAGGAAAAGAATTTGTAACCCAAAGAAGGAGAGGGATTAGTGAAAAACTGAAGAAAAAAATTACCCAATGGTAGGAGTCATAATTTGAACTCAGATTTGACTCCAAAGTCCAATGAAGCCTGCAGTAAGTAATAACCGCTATCAATCAAGGATCCCAATAATTCCACAAGTGTTCCCACGACTCAATAATTCATAGCAACAAGCCCTCACATATGTAGTGCCGTATCTGTACTAGTCTCATTGCTATCTGAAGACCTCCTCAACACATCCACTTTGTTATCTAACATGTAGAAACCTGAAATTTTTCTGTGTTTCCCAAATCCTTTTCTCTTACAAGCAAACATCCTGTGGCATATGCCTGTAATCTCAGCAGTTGGGAGGCTGAAGCAGAAACTGCTTGAGTTCAAGGCCACTGGGTTACACAGTGAGTTCAAAGGCAGCCAGAACTACATGAGACCCTGTCTTAAAAAATCAAAACAAACAAACCTGTGAGTGACCCCAGGCTGTCTTTCTCTCCTTCCAACCCATCAGTACTCCTTCCTTTCACACTCTTCAAAAAATAACCCTGAATCCAATTATTACTATCTACTACCTTTACCAACCTCCTAAAACTAGTCACCACACTTGCACTTTTCCCCAAGTTGGCGTTCCTTTCCCACTGTAGTTATCAATTCTTCATCATGGTCTGCCTGTCAGAACTTATCTTCTCTGATTCACTCTGTTCATGCCACACTATTATTCTCCATTAGGACACTTACAAATACTACTACCTTGGTATGGAAAGTTCCACTCTTAGCTGTTTGTATGGTTCCCTCCCTAATTTATTCATACATGGGTTCTGAAAGATCACAATAGGCTATCATACTACCTATTCTAAAAATAACATCCCACCCTACTGTCTTATCCATGCCTACTCCTGTAATCTCCTTCCCATTTCTATCCACTATTTTGTTTTTGTTATTATCTATTAACACATGAATTATTTATCTATGTTGTCTTCTCCCATTAGAATATAATTTCCATGACAGCAAGGACCTTAGGTTTTTGAGTTGCTTTTTCTACTGCAACATCCGCACACCCAGACCACTTGATGTTAGAGCATCTAACTTCCTTATAATGATTTAATATTTCTCTTGATGACCGATTTAACTCTATAGTCATGAGGTTTTTCTGTATAACAGCAATGTAAGTCAAACATAAATTTGTTCAAAAATGATTTTGAGGGGCCACTCAAACTATTTAAACATAGTTTAAACAACACTTACTTTCCTCTGACCGTACCACCCACCAATCAGATGGACGCCTGGAAATTCTGCGACTTCTTGTGACAGTTGAAGTCATTTCTTCAGGTATCTGTTCTTTCCTCTTAGACTCACGGGAAATATGCTTCTTTCGGGATTCTTTCTTATCTTTTTTGGATCTACATTTTGTTTTCATATTTTCTATAATAAAGAAAGACATAAAAACCTAAATTTAAGAAAATTAAAAATCTCAACAATGAGTTGTTAAAAAAATTCACAGATTTTATAAAAATTTATCCTGTAGGCTTTTTATCTCAAAGCCACACGTTTTCAAAAGACTTCTAATTTTCTATCCATTAAATGCAAACTTTTCTAGGATTAGAAGTCCCACTTTAAAAAAAGAAAAGAAAAAAAGAAGTCCCACTTAACCCAGCTATTCCCCTTCTGGGTATTTTCCCAGAAGAATTAAAGACATCATACCACAGCGATATAGGTGCACCCTTGTTCATAGCAGCACAATTTGTTATAGCTAAATCTTGGAAACAACCCAAATGCCCATCAACTGTGGAATGGATAAAAAAGATGTATTTTTACACAATGGAGTACTACTCAGCTATAACAAAAGATAAACTCAAGACTTTTATAGGTAAATGGATGCAACTAGAGTACTCACAAGTGAAATAAATCAGACCCAAATGTGTAAAAACATTACACTAGTGTCTCCCTAGTGTAAGAACCTGAAAGAGTAAATAAAACCCAAAATGCACAATAGATATTATGAAAGGGAAAGAAATTACTCAAAGGAAGAAACAACTGGGACGAGGGAAAGGAGAAAAAGAAAGAAGCAAGGGGAAAATAAAATATATGGTAGCTGGGATAATTGTACTGCTGATGTCTAATGGTTTATTGAAAGGAACAGTTAATGCTTAATCTTTTTTGATCAATTTTGCATGCTTATATCTGTTAATCTGAACAACTAATTTGAACACAACAATATGCAATATAACAACCATTGCTGAATTTCTACCATCTTGTCTAATGAAGCTCTGTATCATTTCTAATGTTTTTAATTATTTTTTATTCTCTTTAATGGCTTGATCAATCTTGCATTCTTGTATCTGGTAATTTGAGAAACTTCACTGAAGATAACAATATATAACAACCACTGTTAATTCCTATCATTTTGTTTTGAAACCCTGTATTACTTTTATTATTTTTACTTTGTTTTTTGTCTATGTTGTTATTTTGTTACTGTTTAGTCTCTTTAAAATAAAAAATAAATGAATGAATGAATGCGAACTTTTCAAGTTGTTTGGGTAACTCTTACATACTTCTAAACCAAAAAACAAACATACAAATAATGTTATTTGGAAAGCAAAACATATTATTCCTCTACCTACATACCAATGTCCCAAGTTAAAACAAGGTAATTAGGGGGCTGGAGATTTAGCTCAGCGGCAAAGCACCTGCCTGGCAAGTGCAAGGTCGTGAGCTCGGTTCCCGGTACCGGAGAAAAACAAAAAAAAAAAAACAAGGTAATTAGAATTTTTTATTTTGAAATAATTAATGACCTTTTTTTCAATGTAATTTCTGGAAAGGAGATTAAAACTGTGTCTAAATTATAAATCTTCAAGTGAGATTGTTTTGGATTATCCAGATTGGACCAAGCCATGTCTCCTTAAAAGCTGTGGTGAGAGAGATAAAAAATGATGGAAGAGACAAGAGAAATTCAAAACACGAGAAGCCCAAAGTGCTAGCTTTGATGATGGAGGAGGACACAAGTCAAGGAATACAGACGGCTTCAAGACAGGAAAAGGCAAGGAACAGTTTTTCTAGCTGAGCTACCAGAAAGGAACATGGCTCTGCCAACATCTTGGTTTGAACCCAGTGAAACTTCTGACCTACAGAACTGTAAGATAAAATCCACATGTTGCTTTAAGCTACTACACTTGTGGTGCTTTGTTACAACAAAAAAATAGCACAGCTGATACAGTACAGTCATCAGAACATTATATTTACTAACCAATCTAAAGAATATAAAAATTCGTGTGCATAGTATTAAAGGTATTCAATAAACATTTCATATTTCTTTATAAGACAGCATCCTTCAAGTATACATCCTTCATGTAGTATCTTAAGACATTATGGATTCATCAAAATTTTGTACCTTCAAATTTTATGAATTCATATTCTGCTGAAGTACAGTAAGAAAAAACTTTCTCGTAACTACACCCTCATATTAAATTCTTTATATTTTCTTAAAATGACCAACAACTAATTAAAAACTAAAGGAAGCAGACAAAGAAATAATCCAGTTCACAAAATATGGAACAAGGAAGACATTTACAAAAGAATTCCTCAAAACAGAAAAGATGGCTTTTCCCCTCTATTTAGGAAGACATTTACAAAAGACTTTCTAAAAAACAAAAAAGATGGCTTTTCCCCTCTATTTTAAACAAAATAAGGAAAGGTACACAGACAAAACTGAAGTCCATCAACTATTACTTTAGGCAATATATAGTCTACTTTACATACTAAACCAAATGAGAGTTTTTTAAAATGTAATAACTAAAGTAGAATGTTTATTTTTAAAATAAAGTTTATATTCTTTTTCTCCTCTCAATTAGTAATATAGTATAATCATCTAGAACCCTCATGTATACATACAATTATAGTCAAAAACATTTTCTACCTAGCTAATAGTTTTATGAACTCTACACAGGACATATTCTGGACCTTCTCTTTTTTTCTTTTGATCTGCTTTGAGTGTTATCTCCTACCATACAGGACTGCCAAAAGGTTAATTTATATTACACACATATATAAAGTGCCTAATACTTTTTGACAAGTGTTTTCTGTGCCATTACCTATTCTGAAAAGAATTCTTTCTATAAGAATAATTTTCTAGGGGCCAGGGATGTAGCTCAGCGGTACAGCACCTGCTTGGCAAGTGTGAGGACCTGAGTTTGATTCCCAGTACCAAAAAAAAAAAGCAGTGAAAAATTTTTCTACTAAATGAAAAACACAAAGAACACAAATTAATCTTTCTTCATGACAAATCATAATCAACTATACAATGATGATACAAACAGAGCCACACCCTAAGTTAGCCTGGGCCATCCCAGCTTGTGCTTTTGTCTTGATGCTCTCATTCTCAAAAGTCCTGATTGGGATGATAAAGTATATGGTCACCTAAGATACAAATACCTGGTATACTGTTTAGATAACTGTCCTCTGTACATCTACTTTAATCCTGTGCATATAAATATCCTGAGTTTCATCTTTAATTTATATTTTAATAATCTTAAAGAATTTAAAATGGTGTTCTACTCATATTTTGATGACTAATTTGTTTATTCATCTTTCCCTTCCACATTTCCTTCTATGTATGCTGTCAACTCAGAACATAAGCAGAAACAATTTCAGTTGGAATTGAATCATACACAAAATAAAGTATAGGCTTCTGAGGCTCTTTGAAGATTTAGTTTTCTTTGCTTATTACTTCCTGAAGTTAAGACATTAAAAACATAAAATGGTGGAATAATGTTCATAGTTATATTTAATGTAAACACTTACCCACAGGAGGCATCTCTTTTTTGGCACTGTCATCATTTCTTATCTTTTCACAATCATCAAGAGTTCCACCTGAATTTTTCGGTAAGTTGTCTTGGGCAATATCTGACATATTTTCATCTTTAGACCATCCTGTAGCAGGCTGCTCTTCAACTACATTGGTGTTCATTTTTTTTTTCTGTTCTTGTTTTGCTTTTCTGTTTTTCCTTTTATTTCTAGATGGACTTTGAGTTTCCAATTCATCTATCAAAATACAACTTGTATTTGGTTTTTGTTCACTAGAGGGTCTAGATTTCTCTTCTGGGTGAGCTTTATGTAAATGTTTGTTACTTGTCAGAGTCACAGGCGATACACTCTGATGTTGCCTTGCTTTCTTATCTTGAAGGACTGCAGCGCTCTCAGCAGAGGATACTGTAGGTTGGTTCAAAGGTCTACCCTTTTTCGGTATTGTAATCCAAGACTGATGGGCGAAACTTCTCTCTGACTCATCAATTATAAATTCATCTTCTAATAACTTTGCATCACTTGGAGGAGATGAATGAGATGGAGCCATTGCTGTATGCCTAACAACGGGACTAAAACAGGGTACATATTATTTTAGCAGCTAAAGAAGTTTCACCCTTTTAAAGTGATAAAAAAAAAAAAATCTATGTATCTATTTTAAAAGCAGTTCACATGTCTCCTCAATTTTCTCTGAATCTTACAAATCCCACCTTCCCTTTTCAGCTCCCTGTTTATAATACTAACACTATCATAGAAAATCAGAACAAGGAAACTAATTTGACTGCCCCCTAAAATATATATATTATACAAATCAAAACCCAGAGTTATAAGGCCTTGTAAAAGGTCTTTTGGAGCCTGAATTTCTTCATATTCAAAACAAGAGTGGGCAAGATTATTTCTGAGAAGCTTCTACTTATGCGATTTTAAAAGAACACTACTAAACTACAAGAGATCATAGTAGATTTCTTCTAATCTTTTTTTCTACGAACCACAGGGCTTCATATATAGAAGCACCAATACAAAGATGCTGAATAAAAGAAATGTAAAAATTAAAAGGAAATCCATCATGGTGGTGTACAGAAAGCAGCGTACACATACAGAGTCCACAGTTTGCACCATAGCTGTCTGTCAGAGTGGCTATATGAGATGATAGTTACCAACCACCAGAATGGGACAGTGAACAGTTAAAATAAAGAAAACGGCACAGCCAGAATAAGAAGCAAAGTCACATACTAAGCCCAGGCCCTCACCCAATATAGGTCCAGAGACACTGTGTTTACGCATGGGGGAGCCAAGCAGTTTCTCTGCTGTTCACAAACAGACCGCCAAATCACTGGCACTGAGTCCAATCCAAGTCCAGGGAATTACACACCCTTTACAAAGCATAAATTTCAAGGAGTGGGGGCAGCGTTGGCCACAACTGGGCATTCACTCCAGATGCTACAGTCCCTGAGCCCTGGTGGACCTCACCAGGACACAGCCCAGAATACATGATCATAATAGGAAACCAATTCCTGGACTGAGAGTGCAGAGTCAAACCTAAAATGCTTTAAGAGAAGGGAAGGGACAACCATGGCTGAGCATTCATCCCAAACACTACTGCCCACACTAGCAGGAGTTTCACGATTCCAGACTATCTGGCTTGGGGCACAGAGATATATAAGAAATAGAGATAAATTCAGACGCTTGTGACAATTACAATCAATGGGAAGCAGGATGTGGGAAGAAAAATATCCAGAACTAACAGGGAAAACCTCTTCTATAACTTCTGGAAGCTACTGACTTTGCAGAGGTCTGGGCAGCTGAAAAAGGGGAGAGTGGTTCCAGACACGGTGCAAGAAGGACAGTTTATGGCTGGTAGAAACCCCTGGGCTGAAACTCACTACCGGGAGGAAAGTAAATGCAATACCAAGGATCCTGAGAAAAGCAGATTGAGATACAGTAGACTAAAGACAGCAGGACTGAAATTGGGTAGAGCAACAGCTTTCCCTCCACACCTGTCTATGGTCTGTGTGAGACAGACTTGGCGATCTGTTTGCATTCTCAGACTCCTTTACTCTCAAAATGTGGGAGTGGGCTAAGTGTGTATTCCCTTTTATGGGGTGAACTGCTTAACTTCTAAAGTGATTTACATAGGCCTACTGGGTTCTCTCGTACCAAAGGTTATTTCTTGAGTCTTCAAGCATTGGCTTTCTGCAGGCAAAGACATACTGGTTCCAACATCCATAAAATCTCTCACATTTTTCACTTATATTTTCTTCTCTACCTCTGCCGCCTCATATAACTTCTCAAACCTTCTCTCCCCCTCCCTCTCCTGTCCGCACCTAAAAATAATACCATCATATTTTTTCGTTTTTTGTTTTTATATATATTACTTCCTTTTATTTATTCTTGTTTTTCCTTCTCTTAGTTCTCAGTCTATTCTGCATCACATGTATTTCTTCCTCTTCCTGGGTTACTGAAAGATAAAGCTTTGTGAACAAGTTTTAAATTAAGTGTTGCATGTGATTAGTTCTTTGGATATTGTTATCATTGTTTTTTGTTCTTTCCTCAAAAGGCAGTGATAGGGACTACATCCAGTACTTTGAATAAATAGAGTAGATAACTGCATACTAACTCTTACTCAATGCCAAGGGCACAGCATAGGGAGAAACCTACTTGCTAAAGAAATCTCTACGATACTGACAAAGCTTCCTATTCCAACTGATCTATACAATTCAACACAAGAATACAAAAATCTATTGTAATCCCAGGGCTTGGGAGGCTAAGGCACAAGGATCACCATCAGTTCAAGGGCAGCCTGGGCTACACAGTGAGTTCAAGGCCAGCCTGAACTACATAGAGACCTACTCTGAAAAAACAAAAACAAATAAATGACCTTAAAGAAGATGTAAATAATCAGTTAAATGATTAATTATTAAGATGATAAATTAATGAGCTCAAGATATAAGTAAGTGGCTGAATGAATGAAGGATGCAAGTAACAACTCTAATAAGGAATCAGATTATG